ACACGACCCCCCAATACCACAGCGCGTTTTGCATTTTCTGGCTGAGGCTGGTCCAAGGGAAGTTCGCTGGCAGCAGCAGCAGCACCAGCAGCAGCACCAGCAGCAGCTGCTGCAGCAGCAGCAACAACAGCAGCAGCAGCAGCAACAGAAGCAGCTGCTGCTGCTGCACCGCCGCGGAGCTTTGCCTTCAATATCTGAGGGTGTTGCTGAGATGCCAGCAGCTGAAGAAGCAGCAAATGAATACACTGCTGCTGCTGTTGCTGCTGCTGCTGCTGCTGCTGCTGCTGTTGGGGTGGCGCACTCCACGGGCGAGCAGCAGCAGCAGCAGCAGAGGCTCCGAAACATTCAGCAGCAGCAGCAGCAGCAGCAGCAGCAGATTGGGGGGACAGAACGAAAGACGCAGCAACGCAGTAAGCAGCAAACCCGCAGCAGCCAAACCTCGCAGACACCCCAGATGCAGCAGCAGCAGCAGCAGCAGCAACTGCAGCAGCAGCTGCTGCAGCAGCAGCAACTGCAGCAGCAGCAGCAACTGCAGCAGCAGCAAAACTGTCGAGCTGCTGATCATCTTCACCAGCATCACTACCGCTCTGCTTCGGCGCCTCGCAAGACAGAGGAGCCAGCAGTTGCTGCTGCTGCCCCTGCTGCTGCAAGCTTCAGCTGCAGCAGCAGCTGCAGCAGCAACAGGAGCAGCAGCAGAAGCAGCAGCAATGGTAGACAGAGAATGCGGCTGAGTGCTGCTTCCTCTCTACAGGAATACACAGAGTGGAATACAGAGCAGCAGCAGCAGCAGCAGCAGCAGCAACAGCAACGACAAAACAGACGCATGCTGCCTCAGCAGCAGCAACTGCAGCAGCAGCAGCAGCAGCAGCAGCAGCAGCAGCAGCAGCAGATAGGGCATCGCGAAGCACGGGAGCGATCAGACCGCAGCAGCTGCTGCAGCAAGAGAAGCAGCTGCAACAGCCAGAGGGGCACAGCTCGCAGCAGCGGAAGCAGCAGGAAAGCAGTTGCATGCAGCAGCAGCAACACCAACGGTAACAACAGCAGCAGCAGCAGCAACAACAACAACAACAGAAGCAGCAGCAACAGCAGCAGCAGCAGCAGCAGAAGCAACAGAGGCAACTACCCAGGACTTAGCCGCATTTCTGCTGAGCCCCTTCATCGCAGCATCGCCCACAAGTCC